TAAGGTTCTAGACAGGGACTTTGGCCACGGTCCACAGGAGCGCAGCCCAGGAAGTGTGGCTTTCTGCCTCCGCCATCAGCACGGAGGACGGAGAAGTGGCGTGCACCCACCCAGGCCCCGGCGCCTCTGCCGTCGGCTCGTTGACTCTCATCAGAAACAGCTTTGTTTTGTTTTGCTGGTGTTCGGGGTTCGTCAGTCTCCAAGAAGTGTACGTTCCCCCGGCATGAGAGCCACCCGCCATCGGGGGAGCCAAGGTCAGCGTGTCAGTTGACCACACTTTTAGGAAGTCCACTCTCTGTTTGGCTTGGTCATAAGTGAATGCCGACTCAGGGAAGAAGCTAGCACTTTGTAAATTAAAGTCCCAGCCCTGAGAGCTTTTGTCCCCTTCCCTGTGGCCAGATCCCCTGTCCCCAGGGAGTCGGGTGAGGGCGCTGGGGCTCTGGGGCGGGCCTGGTCCTAGAGGAGCCCCCTGGGTGAGTGAGGAGCCTGCTTGCTCTCCTGGGTGCTGCTCCCAGCCACACCCACAGGCAGGGGCGGGGGTGGGTGGTGGCCTGCGGCAAGAGGGAAGATCCCTTTCTCTGAAAGGAGTGTTCCCCGCCCCTGGTGGGGCCTCCTAGACAGGCTGCTCTCCCAGTGCCCCCAGGCTGCCTGCTCGTGGACCTGCACTAACCTCCTCCCGGCGGAGTGACTGGGGGTAAGTTGCTTAACCTCTCAGAGGTTTATAGCAGTGTCTGTCTCACAGGGTTGGTGTGAGATTTAACTAATTAATACAAAGTTAACGATCAGATCCCGGGAGCAGTGCCTGGGACATGCCAGCGCTGCCCAGGGAATGTTTCTCGTCCTTCTCTTTGCTGAGGGGAGACAGCATCGCAGCCAGATGCGGGGTCGTCGTCTCTAACCAGTTAGCTGGTATCTGTTGACCACTACGAGGGTGATCTTTATTTGAGTCACTAAGGACACAAGAGTGAGGAGACAGCTGTGCCTCTTGGCACTTAGAGGACATAAGAATGTTATGGAGTATCATCCGTGTGACAATAAGCCGATAAATGTGTAACAAGTCGGTGATAAGTGCCATGTGAAGAGTAAAGAAGTTATGGGGGGTAAGAGTGACATGGTGTCCCGGTGACGGACAAGGTGGCGTTGAGACAGAGACACCGAGGACTTGAGGGACTAAGCCCTGCGGGAACCCAGGAAGGGGTGACCCAGGCAAAGACGTGGCGCGGAGGAGGGGGTCCGGCACAGCTAAGAGCAGCGAGGGGGACGGTGTGGCTGGAGGGCAGGACGGGGAGGGAGGGGCAGAGGGAATAGGGCGGGCTCGCGCAGGGCCTTGCAAGTGAAGTTTGGCTTGACTGCGAGTGGGAGGGAGTATGGAGCTAAGGAGTGACAGGATGTGACAGGTCCTGGAAGGGTGCTTTCTGGCTGTGTCTGCACGAGAAGCACTGATGGTGAAGGAGTCCCCAGAGACACAGTTTATGGCCTCGGCTTCACTAGCACTCACCCTCTGCGGGCCTGGGAGCGGCTGGGGGGTCTGGACTTGCCGACTGCCCAGCATCCCGTCCTCTTGTTCAGGAGCACCTCCCTCTGCTGGGTTCAGATGCAGGAAGGGGAGGGCCAGGGATTGCCAGGGGACATCTCCAGGGGGCACCGGCGAGCCGGAAAGAGTGTTGCCCCCAGGCAGGGAATGTGCGTGTGCCTGTGTGTGCAGACGCAAGTAGGAGTCTGTGTGGGCAGGCGTGCCTGCACGTGTGCCTCTCCGGGTGTGTGTGCACACGTGTGTGCATGTGCGTGTCCATTCGTAGGACAGAGCTGGCGAGCGTGCTCCTCATCTGCAGCTGCACTTCTTTTTGACCCCTCCGTCACCTCCCAGCTCTGCACAGGGGACCCTGGTGTCTCTCTTCTCTGTGACACGACCTCACTGGCCAAGGACCTGTGCTCCTCACCCCGCTGTGTCCACTCGACCAGGCCCCCTTCCCCAAGGACCCCTGCTGCTAAGCAGTCTGATACGCCCGTTCGTGGGCTGGGCTTTGTAAATAAGGCAGTCGTGGTTAACATTCCCTCCTTTCCCCACCCTCGCTGAGTGCACGTGGCAGATTCGCAGTCCTGGAGGCAGGGTTGGCAGCCACATAGCCACTTGCCCCTGTCCTCTCCTGTGTCCCCAGCAGGTACTGCTGCTCACTGATCACACTGGTCTTGCCCACTGAACCCATACTTGACCTCAGGATCTTTCTTATTTAACTCAGCACTCCAGGCAGCACTAACAGTGGACATGGATAAGTTAAGTGGGATCTAACGTGCCTAACAGCCCCAATCTAAGGTGTTCTGGTGTCACCTCTGAGGACTAATTCTGTGACTCTGATGATGGAACTTTTGGCCACTGTATCCATTTGCTGAGCAAAAAACTTACTGTTTCTGTACCAGAGGCCTTAATCACAGTGCCCCAAGGCTCTCCGCCAGGTGGAAATGGTTAATTGACATGTGACTTAACCACACAGGGGAGACCTTGGGGGCCAGAGTGAAAGGGTTACAGGACTTTCTGCTTTGCCTCGGCTGCCCCAGCCAAGCTGTGGTCCCAGCTGAAGCCAGGCGGAGCTTTGCAGATGGGTTCAGAAGGAGGTGGTCAGCCAGGACCCCAGACTTGGGGGTGGGATGGGAGACGTGGGAAGTCAGCTCCCCAGCCCTTTAGCTGGCAGAGGTAAGAGAAGGGAGAAGGAGAGGGAGGAGGAGATGAGGGAAAAGAGAGAAAAGCAAACAGTATCGGAAGAGGAGACCAGCAGAAGCTAGAGGCAGCAACGGAGGAAGGAGGGGACTGCCTCTTCCCCGGGAGACTGGGACTTCTCTCAGGGAGGGACCGGGGCTTCCCGCTCGCACCTGCCTGGTCTAAGAGAGCGTTTTAGACCTATGCCTCCCCCATCAGATTGGCTTCCCCAGGGCAGGGCTGGCCTTTCCCATCAGAGTGATGGCTCCCCCAACAGGGACTACGTCATCCAACCTGGGGACTCCCCGAGGATAGAGGAACATCCTCTGCCACAGCCGAGACCCTCCGATATAGGTGACTGGCCAGTGGGGCCGGAGCTCCGCCTGCCTGACTCCTCTCTTCTCCCCTCCCAGGGCTCACAGACACCTTCAACATGGACACCAGGAAGCCCCGCGTCATCCCCGGCTCCCGGGATGCCTTCTTCGGCTACACGGTGCAGCAGCATGAAATCAGCGGCAAGAAGTGGTGAGTGAGAGCTACTGCCCCCCCAGCCCTGCGCCCCCCAGCCCTCCATCGGCTGCTCGCATTGGCCCTCACACACAGATGCCCCTCTTCCCAGGGGCTTGACTTCTTGTCCTGGCAGGTCAGGGGCTGCCTAGGATCTGCCATCTGTGAAATCTTGAGCCTCGATCTTCTCATCTGAGAAATGGGGACACCCCTCCTCCTCTGGGAGCACAGGTGGCAGGCACCGAGAACCAGCAGTCACTCTCCCATCCCTTCTCGGGGCCTCAGGGTCTCATCAGTGAGGGCGGTGCCTCTGGTTCTGGCTTCTCGGAGAGCCATTGAGGGGTGTCTCTCAGGGGATGGGTGTGAGTGTGCTCAAAGCTAAAACACAGGCACCGTGAGGCAAAGGGAAGTGAGGACAAGACTGAGAGGGGGCGAGGGCCAGAAAGATCCCTCTGGACCCCTCTGGGGTGGGGGGTAGTCAAGACGAGAGAAGGGTCTGCCTCCGATTTTCTAAAATAACGTCGAGTTACATTTTGCATATTATATAATGTACTCACTTCAAGGGTACAATTCAGTGATTTGTGAATTTTTTATTTCTGATTATTTTTCAAATTGAAGTCTAGTCGGTTTACAACATTGTGCTAATTTCTGGGGTATAGCATAGTGATTTAGTTTTACATAAATATTCCTTTTCATACTCTTTTTCATTACAGGCTATTACAAGATGTTGAATATAGTTCCTTGTACTATATAGCAGGACCTTTTGTTTCAGTGATTTTTTTTAAAAACACATTTACCAGGTTGTGCAGCCGTTCCTACGAATCGGTTTTAGAGCATTTTCACCCCCCATACGAGCCCTCCTGCACGTGTGCTGACAGCCACTGCTCTCCGCCACCAGTTGGCTTTACCTGGCAGGGGCAAGGCCTCCCTTCCTTCCTGAGATGGAGAGGCTGCTTGGCCCTCTTGGAAGCCCTTGCCAAGTCAAGGGGCCACGTGGTCACTGGCCACGGGTCCTACCTTCCCGCTTCCCACCGTGGCTTCCGCCTTCTCCTCTGCTTCCCTGCCTCCTTTCCTGCCCTCCACATGCTACCAGGTTGCAGAATTTCTGTTTTCCAGTTCTCCAGACCTTCTCTGCACCCACGGTTCCCTCCGCCCATGCTGACCTCTCCTGCCTTCCCCACGCGCCCTATCACTCCAGTCTGGCTAATTCTCTCATGGATTTTTTGTAAAGAAATACCTTACTTATTATCTTTCTATCAGGGTAGAACTTAGATACAGTGAAGTGTAGACATCATACGGGATCGGCTCAGTGAACTTTTATGCATGTATATGCCCACAGGATCACTTCCCAGAAAGTGGTATAGGACGTGGCCAGCTCCCCCAGAAAGTTCCTCTGTGCCCTTCCAGACTCCTATCACTACAGATTCATTTTGTTGTTTTTGAACTTCATATAGGTGGTATCACACAGTAAGTCCTCCTTTGTACCTGACCTGTTTTACTCAGCATTTATGTCTTTGAGGTTTAACATATTGTTAACTGTTTCGTACTTGATGCTTTTTCACTGGTGTGTAACATTCCACTGCAGCAATGCACCACGACTGGCGTATTCATTCTACCATTGATGGGTCTTTGGATTGTTTCCATTTCTGGCTATTTCAAATGGAGATGCTGTCAACATTCTTACATGTGTCTTCTGATGAATATATGCACTCATTTTTATAGGTATGGACTCAGGAATAGAATCGCTGAGTTAAAGGGAAGGTGTATGTTTAGCTTTCGTAGGATCTGCCAACATTTTTTCCAAAACAGTTTACCAATTCAAACTCTCTCTAGCAACATAAGAGCGCTCCAGCTGCTTCCCACCCTCACTAGCACTTGGTGTTACCAGCCTTACTAACTTTAGCCTTGCTGGTGGTATGTGGTAGTATCTCACTGGAGGTTTAATTTGCATTTCACTAATGACTAATGATGTTGAGTAGCTTTCTGTGAATTTATCGGCCATTTTGCTGTCCTGTTTTGTGAAGGATTTGATTGAGTCTTTTGCCCATTTAAAAAATTACGTTGTGTATCTTTTTCTTATCCATCTATAGGACTTTAAAAGTATATACTATATACAAATCCTTTGTCAGAGAAAAATCATTGCGAAGAACTTCTTCCAGTCTGTAGCTTGCCTCTTCATTCTCTTAGTGGTATCTTTTCATGAACAGAAATTCTTAGCTTTAATAAACTCTGATGTATCTGTCTTCTTTATGGTTAGTGTGTCTTGTGTCCCATTTAAGAAATTGTTGGCTCTCCCAAGATCGTGAAGATGTTCTCCTCCAGCCGTTTGATGCTCTTGCTTTTTCACTTAAGTCAGTAATTCATCTCAAATTAATTTTTGTGTGAGATGTGAGATGAAGTTCTAAAGGTTTTTTTTTTTAAATATGGGTGGCCAGTTGATCTGGGACCATTTGTGAAAAGACTATTACCTCACTGAATTGTAGTGTTGTCTTTGTTGAAAATCAGGTGACTCTGCATGTATGGGTCTATTTCTAGCCTCTATTCTAGTCCATAGAAGAGAAAGCTGCCTTGGTTACTGTAGCAAAGTAAGTCCTGAAGTTAGTGTGAGTTCACCATATCTGTTCTTCCTTGACAAGATTGTTTGGCTATCCTGGATCTTCTGTATTTCTTGATGAATTTTAGAACCAGCTCATCAATTTCCCTTAATCAAACTTGCTGAGATTTTGATTGGGATTACATTGAATCTATAGATCAATTTGGGAAGAAATGAAATCTTAGTAATATTGAATCTATTGACTAAACTTCAATTTTGAAAAATTGAGTCCTCCAAACCATGAACATATATATTCCTCCATTTATTTAATTTTTTTAAATTTCAAAAATTTTCAAAGCAATAGTGCTTTGAAATTTTCAGTATAAAATTCTTGCATATATTCTATTACATTAATTTCTAGGTGCTTGATATTTTATGCTGATTAAAATAGAATGTTCTTATTTCATTTTCCATTTTTTCCTAGTATAAAAAATATGAATTATTTTTGTATATTTATATTATATCCAGGAACTTTACTAAATTCATCTGTTATTTCAAATAGTTTGCTTGTAGATTCTTTTGAATTTTGTGTACAAGCAGATCATCTGAAATAATTATAGTTTTATTTCTTGTTTTCCAGTCTTCATAGCTGGTATTTCATTTTTTTCATCTAATTGCAATAGCCAGGACCTTCAGTACAAAGTTAAATAAAAGTTATGATACTGAATGTGCTTTTCTTATTTCTCTTATTGGAGGGAAAAATTTCAATCTTTGACAATTAACTAAGATGTTAACTGTAGTTTATTCATTTGTTTATTGTAGATACCTTCAGATTAAGGAAGTTTTTTTCCTATTCCTAGCCTTCTGAGAGGGTGTGTGTGTGTGTGTGTGTGTGTGTGTGTAAATCGGTATTGAATTTTACCAGATGCTTTTTCTGCAAAGATTGAGACGTTATATGATCTCCTTTATTATGTTAATATTGTTAATTATACTCATTGATTTTTTTGAATATTAAAGCAATATGTATGCCTGAGAGAGACTTCACTTGGTCGTCATGTGTTCGTGTATGTATATATAGGATATATATATATGTATAGGGTTTTATTCATTAGTGTGTTCTCAGGAGCTTTGTCTCTGTGTGCCTGAGGTGTATTACCTAGCTAAATGCATCCAATGTGATCTTTATTTATTTTACAACTCATGAATTTCCATTTCATTCTTTTTTTACAGACTATAATTCTACTAGAATAATCTATATTTCTCCCATTTACTCCATTTTAAAAAGCATATTAATCAAAGAGGGAGGATATAGCTCAGTGGTGGAGCACATGCATACCGTGCACAGGGTCTGGGTTCAGTCCCCAGTTCCTCTATTAAAAAATAAATAAATAAATAAACCTGATTAACACCCCCCCCCAAAAAAAGCATACTAACCATAGTTATTTTGAAGTCCTTCTCGGCTGACTCCAGTATCTCGATCATCTCTGGGTCTGCTTCTAATGATTGTTTTACCTTATGGTTGTCAATGACTTTCTTTCTGACTCTTTGTCTGTTTTATTTCATTCATTCATTCTATGCTGAACATTGTGAATAGTACGTGGTACAGGCTGCAGACTATCACTTTCCTTTAAATAATGCTACTTTTTTAAAAGTTTTAATTTTTAATTGTTGTGAAATACACATAACAGAAAATTTACCGTCGTAACTATTTTTAGGTGTACAATCCTGTCGTGTATTATTTTATGATAGTAAACAGTACCACGCTCATTGCTTTTCAGAGAGGAGAAGCCGTTGGGGCTCGGTGTGCCTGTGTTCACAGGAGTCCACAGGAGGTCTGGTCCCCAGGAGGCTGTGTTCTGTGCTGGCCGGGGCCCCCCAGGGTGTGTTTGCTGCCCTGGAATCAAGGCAGAAAGAGTCAGCCTGATTTTGGCCGGGTGAGGAAACGGCTTCCTTCACCCTCGCTACCTGCTCACCCCGGGCACTGTACGAAAGGCTGGTTTTGCTGATGGAGGGCGAGAGTGGGTTAGGCTCCTGAGGCCTGGAGCCCCAGCGCGGGTGAGGGTGCTGTGCGTGGTTACAGGGAGATGTGTGCCCGCGGTTGTGTAAACCACGTGGGGTGGTGGCTCGCATCCAGCTCCTCCCGTGTGCCAGCTGCTGGGTGTGCTTGTCCTGTTTCAGCAGAGTGCTGAGCGGGGCACCCGCCGCCAGGCTTGGGCTGCAGCAGGCTGGTTCCGCAAGGTGGTGGCATCTGGCTTCGTGGGGCATGGGCACCCCGTATCTTGTCATCACTGGGAAGCCAGGGCTGGGAGACCGATGCTTCAGAGACAGCGGCCCAGATCACTGTCTGTCCCAGACAGGTGAGAGCCAGCACTTGCTTTCTCCCAGAGCCATGTCTGCTGGAAACAGAGCAGTAACAGTCCTCCCGCCAAGTGCACACACGGTCTCCTTGCAGGTACCCAGGCAGTACCCGCGGCGTCTGCCCAGG